TTCAAATAATGAATATTCAAATAGAAGAAAAGAAGAAGATGGTGAACGTTCAACTTGTAATAGATACAATACTGATTATACATGGTGCAGATAATGTGGTCCACGACTATTAACTCAAGAATGGACTACAGTCAAAGTTCGTTAAATTCATAATTCCGGCACAGCAAATTTTATCGAATTATTCCATGAGAATATATATTTCTATAAAAGGATAAGATTTTCAGAAAAAAATGAACGAGATACTCATATATGAATTTAAAGAGCGAAATTTCATACATGGTGACATATACAAAAGGTCAGAGATTTATGAATTTATCAAATTATTATCGAGATTTGGTTATTACTATTATCGAATAAAATTTTAATATAAGTGGCACTGGTTCCTGAAAAATTATAATTTAAGGAATTATGAATTTATCGCATATGAATTTAACGAGCTTTGACTATAGTGGTAATGGTGCATTAGATGAAATAATTAAAAGTTCACAACTTAAAACAATATACTATGATAATTGGAGTTATCTTCAATGGTTCCTTACGAAGATTTGAAAGTACTTGAAAAGATAGGCGAAGGCGGATTTGCAACCATATACAAAGCTACTTTGATAAATGGTGATAAATCTGTGGACAAGGAAAATAATAAAATAAATTGTAAAGAGAGAGTTGTCACATTAAAAAATTACATAATTCTCAAATATTTCAGATGAATTTTTAAACGAGGTAAATAAGTTTATTAGTATTTTTTCCAGTTTTTTTATAAATATAATTACTGAAATTAAATATCTATAACTATGTATTTTTAGTTCAAAAATTATGTTAAATTTCATCTATCTCATATAATTCCTAATTCTTATTTTGGATTGACACAAGACCCAATTATAAAAGAATATATTTGTAATCAGATATATATGGAAGACGGAAGTCTTCAAAATTATTTATCAAAAGAATTTAAAAGCTTGAGATAGGATAAAATAGATTTTATTACTTATATTATTGATGGTTTATGGGAAATCCGTAATGAAGAAATCTCCAAATGAAAATAATAGAGTACTGTTATATATAACGCCCGAAGTCATAGAGGTAAACCATACTCGATATATACAGTTTTGGTGTATTGATGTCAGTAATAGTAATATCAACTGACCAACAACCATTCAGCAATTTATTACATGGTACAAGTCTTGCGATAAAGATATGCAAGGGAATAATACCAGATTTCTCAATAACACCCCAAAACTTTATATTCATTTAGCATATAAATGCATGGATGCTGATCCATATAAACATCCCAATGCCAGTGAAATTAGAAAAAAAAATCTTGATTTTTGGTATGCATCATTAAGGGATGAGCAATGATGATAAATCCCAAGAGTAAATTAATGAGATGAAGTCAATGAAGAAAATATTTGATTTATCAACAATTACAGCAACTTTACATCGTGATGCAGATTATTAAAATCAACAGATCTCCTCAACCTGTAAATTCCAATAAAGTTACAATTATTAATAATAACAATAACGGTGATTATTAACATATTGGTTTATTATACATATTAATTATTGAAATTAATGCATAATTCTAGATTCTCAACAATTCGATTTAGATGCATTTGATCAATTTGCCCAATTAAAATTACATGTTTGATATTGTAATTGGTTTTATTTTATTTGCCTAACACAGTTTTACATACATTATCAGCAGTAAATGTAATTGAAAATTTTTAAAACATTTAAATCGCCAATTATTGTATTAGAGAGAGATAAGGTTTGAAAAAAAACGTACTTTTAAAAATCCGGATTTCCCCTTAACCTCTGGAAAAAGAAAGATTGCCAAATATTTTTCCCTTTTTTTTAGAATATTCCACCTGCATGCATGCCAATTGATGAATGAGAAAGATGATCGACATATGCGAAGGAAAATTGTCACAAAAATAACCAATCGGGCACCTTTGCATGAAAATTGTTGTTTCTACACTTTTGTCATAACTTTTTTTGTTGTGCGTGCATATAGGAAAAAGTCAAGTATTATCGGTATATGGTTTTTTTCTTTGATTTTATTGAAAATTTTTTTTTAGTGTTTCCGCAGCAAGTTCATTCATTCATAGACGGATTGTTGTATATTATGTATCTTAAAATAAAATTACAGACCAATTTTTCAGATAATGTCGTCATTTCAATTTTTTTGTTAAAGAACAACAACCAAGATCATAAGTTGCATTTTTAAAATAAAAACATGTATTTGCCCAATTTCAAAAAAGACTGCTAAATAAATTGAAATTAAAAATATATAGTAATGAGGAACAAGATGATGCATCTCTGGGATGATAGCAAATGGACCAGGTGAGTAATTATCTAGTTTTAATGTAACAGTGACTTTCTTTCTAGAATATCTGGTTCATGAGGAATTTCCACGCGAAAATCCTCACAAAAATGTAAGACTGACCTTATCTAAAGCACAAAAAATCATCAAGGCTTTAATGCTGATAATACTTCTTTAAACGTCGATGCAAATAATGATGATTCTTGGACGAAACAATTCATCAAAAAATAAATTATGATATTTTTGATAATGATTTTAACTCAGTTTACATTCACTATTTGACAAAATGCAAGTTCATCAAGTTCTAATTCTCTATATTTTCTTTATTACACAAATTCCATGGAAAAAATTATTGCATTATTTCGTTGTTTGGCGCAGCAATAGAATTATATCACAAGCTCACCAAAAAACAATCATGCCACGCTTCAAATAATTCACATTGGTTAAATAATAGTGGTTAAATTCAAGTTAAACATAGCTGTTTGTCACTTTTTGACCTGTTATAGTTTATTAACGTGATATTCATCTTATAATCAATAAAATAATATCATGGAATGTAAATTAATTCCTCTCTGCTATTGTATGTAACAGTTACTTATTTCATAACTATTATTATCAAGTTTTTTCTGGATATAAATAAATATGGTAAAAACAATAAAAGTTGGTGGCCACAATTGTGGTTCTTAAAGAGAATGAATATGGATGATAAAATGGGATTTATTTGTTCCTTACATTTAATAATATTATAAATTTTTTCTAAAAGTGATTCTTTGCATATTTAAATGTATGATTTTTATGCCTATAATTCATTAAGTAAGCAAAAAACTGGCGGTTCAATCATGTCTTCGTAAGCTAATATAAATCGGTTTGCAAAGTTGATATAAAAAATTTTTTTTAAATTAAATGACGGATCACGAATCAAGTTTTTATCTAGTTATTCTTAATAATCAATCTAAAATGGACCTTTTGATGAAAATTTTTTCTTGAACGAGTTTTTTCTGTTCTTAATATCCATTCCATTTCACCTTATCATTATGCAGTTCTATGCATCCTGAAAATAATACTTTGCGAATCGCTACATTTTAAAAAAGCACTCGTGATTTTAATAAGCTGCATAGGTGGTTACGAAGAGATGAAAATAAAAGATGCGTGAAAGAAGTGTTATACCCATTTTGTGTTAATATTGCAGTGATCCGCGAGCTGATGACGATGGGCGAAACTATTTTTAAGATCTATAGTGGTTTCTCCCCCCACAATTGGTGAAGAAATTCCAAAACTGGAATTCCAATACGACTAATTATATGTTCTATTAACGATATTTATTCATAATGATTGTCTACGAAAATATAAAAGGTTTAAATCTTGTATAATCAAATCAAGGTTCATACAAAAAGAAGCAAAGAAAGAATTGGAACCAGAATTCCATCAAAGTTAGATTAGAAACTGATAACTTTTAATGAATTACAAAGAAAATCATGTAGCTGGTTGATATAAAAACAAAATAATTAAATCCAATTATATTATTATCATTTGACACCATATACCGGATCTTGTGAAAGAATATGGATTATTTACTAAAAAAAAGAGATGTTTTAATTGCTAGACGCGTCGAAAATACATGTAGTAATAGCATCATTTTTTTAGATGCTTTAGAATCATGAAATTCCGCATGTGTAATATCCAAAACCATAGCCTTCATTTGACATGATTTAACAAATTTTATTGAATTCATTAAGTTTCATATGCACAACTAAACTATAAAATGACATTTTTTATTTATGTAGATACTTTCTTTCAGATACTGTAATTATCACGTTTCAAACTGTATGATGAAAAATAATATGAAATAGGAGAAGAAGATGACGATGATATAAAAGTGACGGAAGAAAAATAACAATGATATCAATAGTAACTAGGCGTATTTAGAACCAACCATATGTTTCTAATCATTGAAAAAACAACAATAGACTTGTATCATCTAAATGACGTTTATCTGACGAGAAGATATACTTCTTGATAGCTGTGATGGGAAGATTATCTATTACAAATTTGTTTTATTATTTTTCATATATATTATTTTCTAATTTAGTCCACTTACATAATAAAAATTACTTTTATGACCAGTATTAATAATTTTAATATTTCATAGTGTATAATAATAAAATTTGATCACGCCACATATACTTACGATTTGAAATTTTATTAATAAAATCAGCTATATAACCCTCTTGTGTTCATCAAAAATTAAGGTTATTAATAAAGATCTTGGGGTCAAGTTTATCTACCAAACTACCATATTTGGAAATTAATTATCTCTTTTTTGGTCATTCATTACGCCTGAAGATTTCCTGTCCACACCTTTTCCTTTTTGTGCAAAATTTAATGTTTTTTTGGGTTTTTTCCCGCTAAACAACATCCACATAAATGGAAGCTTACAATAGTCAAACATTCATCAAGTTTGTAAAGGTGTAATAATATATGTTGGATAAAAATTTTAATTTTGAAGTAAAAAGTAATAATGTTTTGAATAACTACAACTTTATATGGAAAACCTCTCTATCAATATGAGAGAACTATAATGTCACCGTTTATTTTGGATTAATAATTGTTAAATGATGTTAAAATCCGCAGATAATTCCATATTTGGATAAGATACGATCGTAATAGTTGAATTTGGGACCATTATTGTAACCGGAAATTTGTTTTCATGTGAAAAATTAGCCAATTTAAAGGAATTTCAAATAGTCCATAGATTTCAATATTTACCAAAAATTTTTATTGATAACTGAAATAACGGCTAACTGCCGTGCGAGCATCATTTTCCACATTTAATTATAGATTTAAAAACATGTAATTTCTTATTGATACCAATTTTGGGAATAACGGCCAACTGCCGTGCGAGCACCACCTTCCATATTTAATTATAG